CAGGCAGTAAAACCTGAAGCAATCTGCCCGGAGAGTAAAGCCGACTGTTAAACCTACACTGTGAACTGTAACTGAAAAAAAAAATATTTACAAAGCTTTTTGTTTTATATCCAGCCCCTAAAGAGAAAAAAAAAAGATTTGTCTATGAAACAAACACAGGATTTTTTTTTTCTAGGACAGTGAAGGCATCACTGGCGCTGATGCCAACATGGTGCATCTACATGTATGACTCGTGTCTCCATATTCCAACATGGTGCATCTACATGTATGACTTGTGTGTCCATTATTGGAGAGACATTTTGTGTAATTTGTGTCTGGGCACCAATGCGGCGCAACTTTCAATTACATTTTAGCATTTAGCGAGTTCACTTTGAGGGGACGCTTTGCTAATTTTGGCTAACGTGTATTTTTAAATAATGTTTTTCTGAAATATTTTTAGCAGTAAAAATGATGATTTAAAAGAAAACATTGACTAAACTGCTAATTTACAAAAAAATTAGACCATTGGACCATGCGTAGCCCCCGACCCAGAGCTTGATTTTATTTAATGATAAATATTTCATATAGATATTGGATCAGAGCATTGTTCTCTATAATGTAAACAGCGGCTGACTCAGCAGATCCCCCTGGTGTCAACAGTGTGTACCATTTATCACAGCTGTCTAGTTGACGTTTATTGTCTCTCTGCTGCCCCCCCAAGGCTTCCTGTGCAATTAATTATGTCAAAATGAGTGCTGTATATGAGTAGTCTGTCTGTTTGGTGGTTTAATCATATCTGGTGATAACAGGTGTATGGACCCCCCCCTCCACCCCCCCACCCCGCGTCTCAGAGCAGTGGGTTGTTCTGGAGTGTGTGGTGCAGAGACACCACTCACCTCTGAGCAGAAACTACGAAGACAAGCAGCAATTAGTGCCGCAAACCACGGAGAAGGAAATTGGAAATTGCCGTTGTGTGTCTTCACCTCTCTCCGGAAGAACAGCCTGAAGTTGTGACAGCAGATTACTGCCTTCACCGTGTGCCCACAGTACACGCATCACAGGACTGGAAACCAATCAGACGCTGAGGCTGATCAGCCGGCTACGACTGATTGATTAGTCATGCCTGATGACTGGGAGACACGGACGGTCAGCTGCTCTGCGCAGGTCGACCTGCAGCTAACAGTTTATTCTAAAGCCAAACTTAACCTAAAACATACATTTGTAGGTTAAAAAAAACAACTGTTCTGGTACGCCACCTAGTGTTCTTTCCATGTCATTGCACCGTTTACCATGTAACCAAAGCGACATTCAACACTTGGTTATGTTTACTAGGATTATTAAAGTAGTAAGTGCGCCACCTTATGTTATTACAGTGATACTGCACTTTTTTAAATTTCATTTAACCAAACTATATTTAAGCCCAAGATTTTTTTTTTCTAAACTAAATTTCAAATTTGTTTTAGTACGCCACCTGTTGTTGTTTCAGTGAACATTGGACCTGTTGGTCATGTGACCAAACTACATCCAGAGACAACATGGACATGAGAGGGCGCTGTAACCCACTGTCACGTTCACTGTTTTGTCCTTGACCATTGAGTTAATAATTTGTGCATTTACAATCCTACCACCGTGAAGTCCAACGCTCATATTAATTATCAGATTTATTTTTTTTTATTGCCACTGGCCAACAAACAACTTATTAAAGTCTATAATTTTCCGTTCCATCCATGCAGCAGAAAGCTTGAGTTTCTTTTTGTTTTTCTTCTTGTAACGCCATCATTTTTCTACTTAACAGTGTTTGGTTTTCAAAGACATCAGGTCTATTTTCACAATCAGATTTATCCAAACCAGATGAAATGTATCACGTTCTGCACCACTTCACCTAATTGATGTGTTGGAAGCAGACGACAGCAGATCACAGCGATCCAAACCACCTCCGCCCGAGAACACAGATTTCAGCTCAGTCGTTCGGTCGGGAAAATGAAGGGAGGTGGAAAATTGTGGATCTTTTTTTTTTCTCTTTCTAAGCACTTCAGAAATGCTCAGCGAGGCTTGTGATTAAATTGGAGTAGAATATGAAAAAGAAAAGGTCAGAAATGTTCCGACATCATGCCAGAGTGAGGTCCACGGCTGATTTCACATGAACAGCTGGCGGCGGGAGTGAAAGTTCACACTGCAGCCAAACACAAAATTTCATGGAGATGATATTAGTTCAAGCCGCGGTCGTACATTACGGACGACCTCGATTGGCTCCTGAGATTTTAAAGATGGTCGACCTTTAAGGTTGGTTTTAATTATTTCTTCGTCGGTGGACACGGCATGTAATACAAGTCTGAGCTGATCAGCTAAGTTTTTTAGAGAAAACTTAGAGACGTAAGAGTAAAACGTGGGTCGCAGCCCGTTAACAGTCCACCCAAAACCGAACAAAAAAGTTGCCAAAAACATTTAGCTAAATGTATATATAAAAAGGTTATGTTTCAGGGGAAATAATCAATATGTTGACCAGAAAAAAAAAAGATAAATGACCAAATATTCACACAGTCATTAGCTCATCTTTATCTATGTCAGGCTAACATTAATGGCCCGTGTTGGCTAATTTTATGGGGATTTTTTTACGCCGCTTTCAGCTAAATTTAGGCTAATTTGAGCTTTTTGTTTGTCTGACAAACTTTCTCTTCATTCATGACATTTTTGGCTATTCATTAGTATCTAACAATTAAATGTTTTCCGAGGAACTTTAAAGTTAGCCCCAACTTTAAGTTGAAGTCGGTCGCAGTGACACCTTGTAATCTTTACAGTGTTTGAAAACGGTGTCTGATTTCACATTAACTCAGGACCAGAACCCATTAATATTCCAAACCTTTGGAGTAATCTTTCTCACCTTTCTCACAGCACACACTCACTTTAGTTCCTGACGCTCCGTCAAAGGGACTTTAATTATGAGTTGACCTGAGGTCAAACCGTCAGCACGCTGATAAAACTCCACTCCTCTTAATTTCATCCTGACACTCTGACAAGGCTTTTTTCTTTCTTTCTTTTTTGTTCTCCAGCTCTAAACACGGCAGAGTTTAGTGGAGGAAGATGTACTTTGTTTTCTGTGTGTGTGTGTGTGTGTGTGTGTGTCTGCACCTGCTCCTGTTTCATTAGTGTGAGCCGGCGCTCTCTCCTGCCCTTAATTTTCTGCTTGTTTCTGTGACACTGAGTCAGTGTTCTAAGGTATCATTAGTAAAGAACCCAAACTGCCACCAAATTTACTCACTCTCCTCAGGAGACTCTGCCGTACTCCGTCAGTATTGCAGTACTGCGTGTAGTTTATGAATAATGGATAAAAGCGTAAGTACATTTCATTGTTGTATATTCTCTCTCTCTCTCTCTCTCTCTCTCTCTCTCTCTGTGTGTGTTTTCTCGTAGCCCACTGCAGCTGCTCTTCCACTCTTTGCTAGTGGTAAATCGCAGACGCTCGTATTCGGTGACACGTGGGGCTCGTTAAAAAAGTCAACGTCGGCAGATTTTTATTTCATGTTGTCAACAATTTCTGGCAATTTTCCTCAACTTTTGTTTCCACGTCCTTTGGTTTCAGCGGGACGTTTCAATCTCAGCGCTGACACGTGGAACATCGGCCGTGATTTTTTATTTTTTTTGTTGCTCCTAAAGCAGCTGAGCTGTGTGACGCTCAGCTCGTTCCTCAACTTCGTTTCCGACACAGTAAGCGTTTATGACAGGAATGGCGCCGACTGTACCTGTAGCTCCGCCTCCAACCGTGTTGTTTTTAATAGGATTGTTGGGGAACAATATGTTTAGTGACAGTTGAAAATTGCTGCCGACAAAAATGCGTATTAAATATTGAAGGGATATTTCTTCACCTTTCCACAACAATTTAAACAAGTGCTGTGGCGACCTCAGCTAACTTTAGCTAGTTCGCGGCTCACGTCGGACGATTATTGGCTAACCTTGGCTAACAGCTGCATCGCTAAGTGACGGTAAAATTATTCATACAATCACAGATCAGTAACTAACACAGACATTCTGAAGGGGAGACTTGAAATATATAACAGTGTGTTAATCTGCACGAACGCTGCCCTCTAGCGGTTTCTTATGCCAACTGTTGGAGTATTCTTTACCGGTTTTGTAAATTCTGATCCAGTTTATTAGAAAATAAAAATGTGCTTTGCTTTTAGCATTCTGTGTCCATATGTTGGACTGGAGTCAGTTATTGTTTTTTATAGAGTCATGACTCACTCTATAACAGAGGAAAGCATGTTTTTTTTTTCCATTCCTTCTAAAGACTCTTCATTTGTGAGCCTGTGTATTCACACTCACACGTTTGTTCACAGTTTGATGCCTTTTCTGATCCACAGTAATCCCTTCATCAGCCTCCGACTGCCAGGTAATACAGGAGTGTAAAGAACCAAGGCACAAGAAGGGGGAGTGTGTGTGTGTGTGTGTTAACCTGGTGTTGTGTGTGTGTGTGTGTTAAGCAACAAGGAAAAATAATTCATTCTCACCTCAGGCCAAACGTGTGAGACTGCTCGTAGTGGAAGAGAGAGTGAATCTTCACATCAGAATTCACAGAAATCAGTCGGTCCATCAGATCCTGGGGAGGAGAGAGAGAGAGAGAGAGAGAGAGAGAGAGAGAGAGAGAGAGAGACAGGCTGTGAATGTGGAGGGAGGGCCGTGAAGAAGAAGATGATTTTTTTTTTTGGGCTAATGTTTTGTATTTTCCTCCAACAAAACTGTCGTGGTTTTCTTTTCTAATATTTTACTTTTTTTTATGAAAATCAGTGTCACTGTGTTGGAATACAGTACATGTTTAAAGGTGTAACAAATGTCTGGAAACTTCAGCTGGTAATGTGAGGCAAAGGATAAAACAAAGGACACACACGCCCCCACATGGCTTAGGGAGGCACTGCAACGACATGAGAGGCACAGAGTGAGGTTTGACACTCACAGGGATGGAGGTGGGTATTTCTCTCAGGGTGTAGTCGCTCTTGTTGGCCAGCGGCTGCTGACACAGCAGCTCCCAGACCGAGTGTGAGGACGAGAGGAGGTTCACCAGGGACAGGAGGGACTGAGGAGACAGAGGAGACAGAGGAGACGAGGAGACGAGGAGGCATATGAGTGTCTGCTGACTCGTCGTTAACCTCTGGTTCATTTGTAGCTTGTACTTCTGTACAGTACCTTATGGCAGCTCCTGTCAACGGGGTCCATGGGCGTTGGCTTGGGCCGGACCACCCTCACGTCGTCAGTCCCACACTCCAGAGTTGACCACAGCTCTACGACCAGAGCTCTCACAAAACCTGGAACACACGGAATATTTTGAAGTCATTTTTATTCATCTTTGACTCACTGCAGCTACGGCAGACTGACTGTAGACTGTAGACTGTAGACTGTAGACTGTAGACCGTAGACCACAGTAAGACTTCAGAACACCAGCCTGGTGTTTGATAAGAGTCAGAGCAGATGCAGAACATCGGTACCTGATCGCTGTAAGGCCACCACACCAGGAGCCGTGGCTGCCACCTGGGTCACCATCACCCCGTAACCAAACTTCTCACAGCGGCTCACCTGTGGAGGAACATGGTTTATTTATTTATTTTGTTGTTTAAGGCTCTATAAACTGACAACAAAACAAAAAGACAGGTCTGGTCCAGGGGGGAATTTTTCTTGACATTTTTGTCAAATTGCAAACAAAAAAACAAACACAAAAACTCAAAATAATCTTTATGATAATAATACACTGTTTATGGTACTATATACTGTATCTGTTAAAACGGACTAAATATTGGTGCGTGATATTTTGCTTAGACCAGGCATGGGCAAACTAAGGCCCGGGGGCTGATTGCAGCCCGTTCAGCTTTTTAATCCGGCCCGTCAAACTTTTTCAAATTATATAATTTATTTTAATTATTATAATACTTCTGTCTTTTGCCTGCAATACTCACATTTTTCCAATAGAAGGCATAGAAAACGATAAAAACATTTTAGCATTTCAGCCTTTATGCATGACTTTTACATATCATTTATCTTAGTTCACTGCTCTGCTCTTGACCCCATCTCTCTGTTCAATTTTAGGACAACTGTGGTGGAAAAGTTTGCCCACACCTGGCTTAGACTAAGATGTTGGCAAACTCTGGTCCGTGGATCAAATATGGCCCATTTAACTTTGTATTCCTGGTTCATCAAAATTATTAAAATTCTAGCAAAGAGGTCGCCTGCTGGTAATTGTTGAGTGTAATACCGCCCTCACCTGACGACTGCTGGGATTAGTTACAGCTCGAAGGATGAATAGGAAGAAGACGAATGAATGTAGAAATGAATAAATAAAAGCAAAAAAAAAAAAAAAAATCAGCATCATGAAGAGTTAGCTGCAGCCAAAAGTACAGAAGTTGTTTCTATAAAAGTGGTGAAAAGGTTCAATCGAGCTTCATGAGCATCAGCACTGTGCAGCTGTGATGATGCTGATGCTGATGCTGCTGCTGCGACAGAGTCAGGACTGAGTAGATTAGGACGCTGAAATTAGATGGAGCAGAATATAAGTTGAGCTGCTCCCTGAAGCTCATCACTTAACCCCCCGGGCTGCTCTTACTGTGGCCACCAAAGCCATTACTGCGGCAGTGGCTGTGGTTTGGGAAGTTTCCAGGACCGTTCAAGGCCATTTGGCTCCGCTAATGTGCACAGGTGTTCAGGGGAGGATGGGGGGTGGGAGGTGGGGGTGGGGTAAACAGGGGAGGGCAGAGGGGGCGAAGGGTTTTTTCTTTTTACCTGTAGCTTTTTAGTGAAGCGTGAAAACATGTAGGAGATGCACTCATTGATGGCCCCGGTCTGCTGTAGCAGCAGCAGGCCTTTAGGGGTCGCCGCAAAGTTGAGCAGGCTGTCCAACAAGGTCTCCTCCCAGACGAGCCTGTGACCACAGTCAGAGACAAGGAAGAAGAAAAACAACAACAACGACAACAACGACAACAACATGTTACAGTGTTCAGAGTCATCCTGGATGAAGAGCAGTGATTTTTCACTGGTTCTCAAATGGAGGTACGCTGACCCACAGGGTACTTGAAGGTATGTATTTTAAAAGATAGAATTGATTTATCTTTTCTAAAAAAAGATACAGAGAAACTATAGGAGATTTTAAAAAAATGTGTTATTGTGTTTTGCCTCATCGTTGGGAACAAGTTTTGAGATGCAGCTTCTGCGGCTGCTGCTGTTATTGTGTTTTGCCTCATCGTTGGGAATACGTTTTGAGATGCAGCTTCTGCAGCTGTTGTTGTTAAACCTGTGTCAGGTCGGCGTGAGGTCAATCGTGCAGTACAAACTGTAACTGTTATCTGGTCCAGAGATTACACTTTTTCTGAGTCACTGTTTTGTTTTGTTTTTATCTTTATGGCATTGACATTGGCTATCAGTCAATAATCGGTTCCTGCCTCGTTTGCACAATCACTTAAAATTCTTTCTGCTGCCTGTAAAGCAAATAAGCGTGAGTTATTAATATAAGTAATTATCTGCTGCTGAAAAACAATCAATAACAGTCAGTGACTGTTGGTGGAGACAGTGAGCAGCTCTTACATGTCCTGGTGCTTCTGTGTGGACCCTCCCACAGAGGCTCCAGGTACTGGTGTCGGGATCCTCTCTGACAAGGAGCTGGTCTGGAAAAAAAAAAAGAGAGAGGAGAGTTTTTCACTTCAGATCTTAGAGACTTCAAGGTGACGTTTGTCTGGGGACTTTTTGACTCACATCTTTGATAGGAAATGAGATGAGAGTAAGTGTGAGCTCTGTCTACACTGATTTCTTCAGACCAAATCTGTCAATTAAAAGTGTACTGGGAGTCGTTCACACTCCTTATGTTGGAGCTCATTTAACCAACTGAGGAAGTGAACCAAACCCACTCTGACAGACTGGGTTTATTCCTGTTACACAACAATTACAAGTTTTCAAGGAGTGTTTGTTACCCCACCACTGACAAAGATAATCAGCTTTGAACTGTCTGGAAAACAAGTACTTAGCAAACATGTCAAAAAATAAAGGAGGTAATTAAACTAATTCAAACTCACTTTCATTCAGGATAAACAGTGAGGAGCTGTGGCTACTCAGAAAGAAACTCTCATGATCGAACCACGACTTGAAAACGAAAACACCGCAGGATCCAGAGGCTCACAGCTGAGCTCCTCCAGGAGGTCATTCATTGGGGAGAACATTTGATTGACAGCTAACCACGCCCCTTTAATAAGCCTGTATTTGAGCTTAAATATCGTCCTGCATGTCGTCAAAACACAGACAGCTTCTTCGACCTTCTCTCAACTGTTCTCTTATATACATATATATATATATATTTTATCTCAGTCCTGTAACCACGTGCATGTACCTTTTTCCAGGCTGCAGCCACCGCCTCGTGCAGGCCGTGGGGTCTGAGGACCTGCAGACCCTCACAGGTGTTGTACATCTGCCTGCAGACAAAAATAAACGCTCCGCATAACGTGGAGTAGGAGTCGGAGTCGCTGAGAGTCGGCAGCTCCCTGTTCAGCAGCTTCAGGGTGAAGTGGACGATGACCAGAGCAGCAGTGGTCCTGCAGAGGGAGACAGAGAGTTCATGACGGTCCAAACTGGAAGACAAACGACCTGTAGGGTGCAGACCCATGAACCGCGAACCTCAGTTGAAGCACAAATCCACATCCAATACAACCGCAGATAAAGAACGAGGCTGTTTGTATTTAATCTCCATCACTTTCTCACCTCTCGCCGTGCGGCGTGCTGAAGACGTTCCTCTCGTATAAGAACAGAGCTAACCCTCTGTCTGTGTTGGCAACGCGAGCCAGGATGTCAGCGATGAGAGTGAGCGTCGCTGCAGGAGATTTCAATTTGCACTGCAAGTCCCAGAGAACAAACAACAAAGTGAAGGAAGAAGAAGAAGAAGAAGAAGAAGAAGAAGAAGAAGAAGAAGAAGAAGTGACTCTGCAGCTGCTGAGACAGGACGACTCCCAGGAGGGAGAGACAGAGACAATCACAGGATCTAAATGTCTGGTACTGATGACGAGGCAATGGCAGAACTGTGAAAGAACATTTTTCAAAACTGTAAAGAAAAAAAAAAAATATATATATATATATAACTGAATATATAATATAAATATTTAGTTAATATTTGACATTCTCTAAAGTAGACTGCGGTGGACTGGGACTCTAAAAACACACAGTAAAAAGGTGTTTTTATTACTGTATTTTACACTCTACCTTGTCCTGTTAATAGAAAAAATGTCAAGTTCTGTAAAATGGAGCAGGAACCTGGGCTATAAAAATAAAGCTGATGATGTTTGAATGTTTCTGTCTGAGGACGGTCGATGCATGTGAGGGTGAGGGTGAGGGTGAGGGTTTAACCTGCTGTCCACTGAGCACAGCCACCACAGGAGTCAGCAGTGTTTCTATGACAGCAGGCTGGTAGAGACACTGAGCCGAACCCTCCGTGGTCTCACACAGCATCCACAGCAGCTCCATCACCAGACTGCTGGGCGACAGCGACACTGAACAACAACCATGACAAAAAAAAAAAAAAAAATTAATCATTCTGACTGGTTGGATTTTTTTGTATGTTATGAGTATAATTTAAATATAATAATTTTAACTAATTTATAAGAGTTTTATAAGAGTTTTTAATTTGAAAGAATATTATTATATTGTTATAAAAATAAGGCTAAAATAATCTGAAATATCAAAAGAAACAATTAAAATATATATTTATATATATATGAAAATATAGCACCTTGAATTTGCCAAAACAGAGCAAAATATTTTGATGAATTTAGCAGAAAAAGTATCTGAAATGTACTCAAAAGTATATAGTAGGAACCCCTAAAGGCAAGCTGATGATAATGATGATTTTTTTAAAAGTACTTAAAAATATATATATATATATTAATGATTTATATTAGCAGGAGTTAGGAGTTAGCATGCAAACGGTCTTAATTATCAGTGGAAAACATTCAAGGTTTAAGTACCTGATAAATCAAATATTCAGATTAGTGTGAAACTCTGCAGACGCTCCCTGCTGATGTGTGTGTGTGTGTGTGTGTGTGTGTGTGTGTGTGATCGTCACCAGAACACGAGTAAATAATTCCTGAATAAATCTATGAGTCCCTGCGGCAGCTTCAGGAAACGATGCTGTGACAGAGTCGAGGCAGCAGCACATTGATCACAAAGCTGCAGGTCCTTCAGGACATGAGTGTAGTACTACGTGACTCAGTACATGGGCCTGGTGTAGTACTACATGACTCAGTACAAGGTCTAGTCTAGTACTACATGACTCAGTACAAGTTCTAGTGTAGTACTGTGTGATTCAGTACAAGGTGATAAAGCAGCAGTTCTGAGGAATGTTCCCTCTGCCCCACTGATCCCAGACCAGTGGGTGTCATACACATCTGTACTTGACGTCTGTGGTTTACGTGAGTGGTGGAGGACGGAAGGAATAAAGACGAGGCACCTGTGTGTGAGGCATCAGAGGGCAGAGGCCGGGGCTGTTGGTACAGGATGTGAATCAGAATGACCAGCAGGTCGGTGAGGCTGAGCGGATCTGGAACAGACATCAGGACACGGCTCAGTGAACGATGGGCTGAGCGGATCTGGAACAGACATCAGGGCACGGCTCAGTGAACGATGGACAACAAACAAACAAGAACAACAACAAAAGAAAAAACAATTCTTCCTTATGAGGAAAACATTTCCACAACAGCAGTCGATGCACTGGATAAACTGCCAGATCACAGTACAAGTACTTCATCATCATGTTATGATAATAACCAGGTCTTCTCTTTCTCCACTAGTTGGTGCTCTTTCTCTCACTGCCAAATACATTTGCCAAACTCAATACAAAGGCTGCCTCTATACGTGTTGACATTGTTTTTCCATTGTCATGACTTTAAAGGGACCATATGGATTTGATTTTATTGTAACATTTGTTGCTGATACTCCTCTCTCTCAGTCTCCACCTTCACAGTGGCCTTGGGACAGCGATAAAAACTTGTCAGCTACCATATAAAGTCACTAAAAGTTAATTGCCGTGAGTCCGACTGCGTATCAATACAGTTGCATAACTTTATCAGTGAGTAGTTTCAGTGATTAGAATCCGACCTGAGCCCAGAGTCAAACGGAGACGGAGGGGGAGGAGCTTCCTCTGGACGCTGATCAGTCACATTCCAACATAAGATTGGACCCACCGTAAAGACTGGGTTTGGCAGTGCATTAGTAACGACGATGATGGCGATGGACACAGCAGTAAACTACAGTATCAGTGTCTGTTCGTGTGTGTCAGTGCAGGAGGGAAAACAATGAACAAAACACAATAAAACGCCTGGACGACGAGTGCAATCAATATTTACGACTTCAACAGAAAAGCTCAGGAAAAATAAGGACAGTAACAGAGTCAGGACAGAACACGGCTGCGGAAACTGCAAAAAAAAAAAAATACTATAAAGTTAGCCAGTATAGAGCTAACATAAAGCCAATTTATAAAACAAAAAGCTAAGAGTTAATTAAATAAATCACATTTTACCAAAATACGTCCTGGACGGCCCAAAATGTTACTAAAAGTTAGCATGAGAATATCAAAAATAGCTTAAATTAAATTAAGTTAAATTACCGGTAAATGAAAAACACTAAAAGGTAGCTCTGAGTTGGCTAACAGTTAGCATCTATTCTCACCTTTGTGTTTCCGCACTCGGACTGGGAACAGTTTTCTTCCGTTGGTGTAAATGAGGAGTTTTCCCAAGAAACACAGAGAGTGGACGAAGGCTGCGTACTCCAACTCCTGCCCCGAGTAAACACTCCTCTGAGCTGAGGAGACACAAAAACACACAGTAGTAACAACAACAACAACAACAACAACAACAATAATGATAATGAAAACATTTTCTCATTTAAATTCCAAAAACATTGAGTTACTTTAAAAACTGTTCAGTGAACAAAACCAATATTTGGGTAAATATTTTACAAGAACCTCCTGGTGCTTTCAATGTCATTTTTTAGCACATTAGCACTGGCAGAACAGGATGTGTAGGATGTGACGTTTAATAAACAGAATGAAACTTTTAGGCTTCAGAAGAACACTTTTAACTTCATCATTTTTTCAAGGTTTTCATGTTTAAACCCAAATCTTCTCAGAAAAATAACAGGGTTTTTTTGTTGTTTTGTTTTTCAAACTATCTTTGTCCTTCATTTCCACTGCTGTCACTGATTCACTGAGAGCAGAAACATCAGTGAACGACGACAGGAGAAGTTCCAGGTAAAAACAGAACGTCTGCCACGGGCATCGACATCGGCTTCATTTCCTCATCAGGACTGTTTCACGGCCGTTCAGCTTCACTTATCTTTGCTTTGTTTCACCAGGAGACATTAAGTCGTCCATTACTGGATATGTGCTGATGTTTACCGCAGAGACGTTTCAATTAACTCTTTTTTTTAAGGAAGGGAGCTGAGAGACACGGTGAGTTTATGGACTGTTTTACTCACCACTGTTCTGCTGCTGCTGCTCTGCTGACTGGAGATTTGTGGGCTGATCTGAGAGGCGTTCACAGGATTCACCATAATGGATACAGCGCTGAACAGCAGCAACCACCTGAAGGGGAAAAAAAAAATGTCTTTAAATATGAGATGAGGTTTGACGTTGGCCGACCAAAGACTATTGGAAAGAGTAGGAAATAAAGGAGGAAAACAATAAATTCTTTAACCAGAAAAAAAAAAACTCCACTGAAATAATGATGAGTGATACTGTGAATCACTGACCAGAGACTTGTACTTCCACTCCAGCAGCCTCAGAACCACAGTCCTGCTGTAGTAGCCGTGCTGAGGCAGCAAACGTCCAAGAACCAAGAAAAGAGCAGAGTAGGAAAAATCAGCATCAGACAAGACAACGGAACAACCATAAAATAAAGACACCGACCAATTCTGTACTTTAACATTTGTGAATTACGAAAACCTTAGTTTGAAACACGTGTCGAGTTCTATTGTTTTGTACAGGGTTCGTACAGGGTTTTTTGTTTCCACATTTTTACCCACCATCCATTTGTTAAACCAGGTGGCTTTAATGTCCAGTAAGGCCAGCAGGTGAATTGGTTCCAGGACTTTTTCACTGGCAGAGGAAGAGGAACCGTGTTCATGATGGAAGCAGAGCAGGGAAAACGTGCTGTCAATAACTTCCTCCATGTATCTGAGAATAAAACATAAAAAAGGTTGTTTTCAGTCTTTGAAAAGAAGAAAAATAATTAGTGAGACGGTGTGGGAAGTTCCACAATGGTCGTTAATAAATTACGTGACACATCCTTCACGTCCACTCACTTCTCCGGATGACGGATCCAAAAAGTCGTCACCTCCTTCTGAAAGTCGTTCATCAGTCGGATCTGGCCACGGACAGACAGAGGAAATGAGTTCTGGTGTCTCTGACAGGTGACTGATGATGTGACGGAACAAACTCTGTACCTGTTTCAGGAGACGGCTGACCTCAGGTCTGTTTATGTCCATGACCGTGGAGCCTGATGGGAAACTCAGCCTGTGAGTTGAGAAACTTGACTCCACAGTTTTGGCTGAAGGACGAGAAAATGAGACGATCAAAAGTCAAATTCATCCAAAAAAAAAAACAAAACAGTTTATTATTTGTAAGAGTTACGAAACTTGACTCCACAGTTTTGGCTGAACGACGAGAAAATGAGACGATCAAAAGGTATTCAACAAAAAAAAAAAAAAAATCAACAACAAATTATGACACGAGTTATATGAAAGTGTGAATAAAAATTACACACGATGCACATTAAAAGAAAAAAAAAATGTATATTGTGCCGACACTAGAAATTAGGGTGTACGTGTCTGTGTGTGTGTGTCTGTGTGTCCTACCCAAACTGGTGTAGATTTCTCTTGTTACATTCATGGGAGAGGAGGAGAAACTCTTAGCAAAAAACTGCAGGACATTGTCCTAAAGTGAGGAGATGAAGAAAACTTGTTAAAAATGGCATATTTTGTGATAATATCAATGTTTAATGATGAAAACATGGAGTTAAAATACATTTAAAATAAATAAATGTCATCAATCACTAAACAGTGTGTTTGCTCCAGGACTTTATTCACTGAGCGTTTGTTGATGAGCCTGTGATGTCGTTGTTGGCTGTTATCAACCAGAACCAGTCTGTTCAGAACTCACACTCAGGTCCGGGTCCGACTCGGTCAGGGCAGCACACAGCTTCCTGCGGAGGCCGCTCCAGCTCTCACAGCTCAGCACGTCTGAGGGAGGGGCACAGCAGAGGGCCTGAAGGGCCTGCCAACGCACCTGCACACACAAACACAAACACAGGCTGTGGGGTAATGTAGGGTAAAATAAAAAAATTTTATGCCAACGCACCTGCACACACAAACACAGGCTCTGGGGTAAGGTAGGGTAAAATAAAAAAAATTTAAAGTGTTCCAGCTTTTCTAAAATATGTTTGAAGATAAACGCGAGCCCTTCTACCTCTTTAGGTTTGCTTGAGTCCAGTTTTTCAGCCAAGACCTGCAGCTGCTCCTGTCGGAGGAAGGCGTAACTCTGTGAAGAGAGACCGAACAGTTGAACCTCTGGAACATCAGCAGTTTATTACACTTCATCACTGAGGAGATTCTTGGTTGACCTGGTTGAAGGAGGAGTCGCTGTCAGAGCAGTTGTCCATGAACTGGCTGCTGGACTGCTTCTCCCTCGCTCCCTGCATCTCCTCCTCCTCCTCTTCCTCCTTCTTCAGCCGATCCTCCTCAAACCTGTTGACTAAAGACTCCACCACCATGATCATGGAGTTTTTCAAGGTCTGAATCATCTGCAGATACCTACGGACACCATTAGGAGAAATTAGGCTGCAACCCATACATAGATATAGATTCATATACAGAAAGGTTCGTCCAGGAAGAGGATTCTGAAGAAAACTGTAAATTATCTCCATATTAAGTTGTGGAATTCAGTTAGCGTGCTAAACTTACTCTGTGGAGTCTCTGGTTTTCCGGGTGATGGCGTGAATCAGGGTATCATGGCCTGAGCCGATGGCGTGTTGTCCTCCTCCTCTGGTCAGGTTCTTGGTTTCCTCCTCAACGACGGCCCCCAGGGAACTGTCCACATACTGACGGAGGTACTTGACAAACTCATAGCTGGAAGAAGAACATTTGAGTGAGACCTTTTATTTAGGTACAGACTAAATTAAATTAATGTGCTTTTTCTCCATCTTCATCACTCACTTGTGGAAGTTCTTGTCCGTCTCCTCCAAATGAAGAAGGATTTCTTCGGCACATTCTGTTGAAGGGGCACCAGAGATCCTGTCGCTGATGCTTATTAGAAGCTGCTTGAGCAGAGACTGCAACTCCAGCTCATCTTCAGCAGACAACTGAGACATGGCCTTCAGGTCTGATCCTAGAAATATATCAGGACAAGTAAACGAAAGGGAATACCTAACAAAAACGTCATTTGCAACAGGGTTTCAACGGACCTCTTCCTCTACACGTAGTCATATACTTGTCATGTCGGTTAAAACAGCTATTTAACATAATTTGTATTTTATTTAGATAGAACCAGTGACTTACCGATCTGTCTTTCCGTCTGCCTATCTCTCTTTAGCCAAACACTGCTAAAAGCAACACTTGAAGCACGTGTAGTTCGTACATTTGCAGATATTTAAGAAAACACAAAAAACAAACACAAACTGACCACAGGAAGAATGAAAAAGAAATGTTTTTCAGCTTTTTGTCAGCTTTTTAGTGATAATTTTACCCAGCTGCTACAGCGTCTCTATGGAAACGTTCATATAACGTAACATCCGGTGCATTTAGGGATTGCGAGGAAAAACTGTTTGCTGCTTAGAAGAAACTAGTTTGTAAGATATCCACAAATAGGAATATGTAATATTTAAAGATTACGGAGAAATATTACTATATAAAATAGTTTATGTAAGAAACTATTTTGTTTTTTAATAACAAATACTATAGTAAGTTTATACAGTGTAACTTCGAAATATAGTCTTAAATGCACGTGAACGCAGCAAAAGTGACGTACGCATTACCACGTGACGTTTTTGTTTTGGTCCTTGTTCCTGTCAGTTGTATCACTGATATTTTCGCACAATTTCATCCATTCTCCATCGATTTCTATTTTACAAACCGACCTGGTGGGGACGTTAGTAGCTGTGGTCGCAGATCTTAATTTCTAGTTAACAATATTTACTAAAATTATATCATTAGATCAGCCGATAGCGTTCAGCTAACACATTAGCATCAGCATCAGCACTACTTTAGGCAGACACTGTGGACAATGGCGGCTGTTGACAGCTTTCAGCTCTTGTTCAGGGAAATGTCTCGGTCGTGCGGTTCTTACGTTGAGGCCTTGGCCCTGGTGGGGGGTCTGTACGCGGCCAGCAGAGCTGTATTCATGCTGAGAGACTGCTGCAACCTGGTGCGAGTGCACTTCCTGCCCAGGATGATTCCGTGTAAGAAGCTGAGGCAGAGATTTGGAGATTGGGCTGTTGTTTATGGTAAGAAGACCAAAACTGACCTCCTGCAAGGACTAATGCTTAAACATTAGACCACAGTGAAGACGTTTTTCTGGTACCTGGAACCTGGTTGTCTTAACAATGAACTATCCAGTTGTACCACAACAACACTGATACAACGTGTATCCTCTCTCCTGTCAGGAGCATCAGAGCCAGTAGCCCAAGCTTATGCAGAAGAACTGGCCAAACACGGCATCAGCATCATCTTCATCACTCAGGACCAAACCTCTGTGACGGACACGGCTGCGTGGATCTCACAAAACTACAGAGTGGAAGCTGTGGTCATCCAGGTCGACTTCTCTCTGGTCCAGGCTGCCAATGTGAAGCCTGTGGAAGAACTTCTGAGAGGGAAAGAAATTGGTTTCCTAGTGAACTGCTTGGAGCAGTCTCTGACGTCTCCACAGAGTCTGAGTTTAATGCCCGAGCAGAGCCTGTTGGCCTCAGTGAATAAGAACGTCGTCGCTGCTTCGGTGATGGTGCGGTTGGTGCTGCCGGGGATGGTGGAGCGCAGCAGGGGAGCTGTGGTCAATATTTCACCGGGAGCTTGCTGCAGATCACTGCCTTGGAGAGTCACACTGGCTGCAGCTACGGTGAGACACTCATTTACAGTTTAACCATTTTTATGGTCAAACCGGGGACAGTTCTCCAGTCCACCACAAGGCCACGTACAGGGTCAAACAACAACTCACACACTTAGTCACAATCCTAGAGTCAAGTCAGAATCATCCTAAACCTAATTAAACTAATCCTGCATGTGTTTGGACGGTACAACTCAGGGCTACCTGGACCACTTCTCAAGAGCTCTTCACCTGGAGTACAGCAGCAGAGGCATCTTCGTTCAGAGTCTGATCCCCTTCCAGGTAAAAAACAAAACAAAAACTAAATGTCATGTTCACCAGAAACATATGTAAAAAGCTGATAAATATATAAATGTTTGTTTCCAGATTGCTTCTTACAGACATTATCCTTTAGCCTCTGAATCTGCATCATCATGCAAAGGCTGGTTTGTCCCCAAACCTGATGTTTATGCCCGTCACGCCATCTCCACCCTGGGGGTCTCCAACAGGACCACAGGGTACTGGCCTCACACTCTGCAGGTTTGTGACGTCAGCTGCACTGCTGCTGCTGCTGCTCTGAGGAACAACATCGAGGTGAAATGTTGAGCCATAACTGATGATGTCTGACCGTTGTACTTCACAGTACTGTCTGATGCGGCGTTTACCAGAGTGGGTGAGGGTCCTCGGATGTCGTGCTCTCGTCTGTTCCAGTTAGGAGTCCGTTCTCTTCTCCGTCCTCCTCCAGACTCCGCCCAGTCCCTGGACCCTGTAGAGTTACACACTGTTGAGTTCAACTGTGGTGGGATTTGGAAAACATGACATCTGAGCACTTTAGTAGCATCTGATCCTAAATAGTTAAGGGTCCAAACAAAACTGATCCTTGAAGTTACTTTAACACAAGACCTTAACTGTAGCTGAACTTTGGATGAAGTGCTTAGAAATCCGAGGGCATTGCAGCTTCAGTCCATCTCTTTACTGGAACAGTAAAGTGGTAGTTAACAGAATTAAAATACATCCACCTGCTTTAACGTTCTATAAAACTCCAAAAGTGTAACTAAAATACAAACAGGAAGTGTTGGGTAAAAGAAACATTTTACAGCAGCGACGTCTGTTAGTTCTATTTTATTTTTTATTTTCTCAATACTTTGCTCATTATTTCTATTTTTAATTAGTAACCAGGTTTTTAGAGGAAGTTAACAAATCTCTGGTTCACTCCGCTTCTTTGTTCTTTTTGTTCCAGTCTTTCAGGATGTTCCTGCAGTGACCAAAGCCCTTAGTTAAACACCAGATACGTGCCAAAACTCCAAAGCTGTGTATTACTCGTTACACTGAGTTTCCTTCTTTAGTTTTTGAAACATTTTATGGGTTTTTTTTGTTGTCAAGTAAATGTTGACTTTGACTTAAAAAAAGGCACATTCAAAGAAAACATCTGTACTGAACGTGAGATAAATGTCAGAACAGAACATTAAAGCCAGTGTTTGCAGTATTTAAAATTCTTCTACAGTCGACTGTACGACTACGGATGAGTCACTTGTCTCCAGGAGAGAATTAAAAAGTTATTAAAGTTAAATGAAGAATGATAAGTGATGGTGTTTGCTGTGAATTAATCATTGTGTGTGGATTTGTATAAAGTCAAAGCAAATGTGTATTTATAGTCATGAATGTAGTAACTCAGGCTCACGGTGTACTTTAAAATGTCATCAGAAAAGCAATAAGACCTCTACGCTACATTTGACTCTCAGTTCTTGATTAGAATCCCTGTGTTGTGTCTAAGTACTTTACGCCACGGTCAAAGTCCAATGTTTCCAAAATATTTTAGCTTAGCCTTGAAGCTAACGTACTTAGCTTTACTTTAGCAAAGCTTAATATGTAAAAAGTCCAGCCAGGCTGCTGCGGTGTAGGACTTTAAACTAGATTAAACTGCATTTAAAAATGTTAAAATTAGTAAAAAATAAAAAAAGAAGCTTTATATAAAATGTATAAGAATATGTGAGTAAAATCAATCAACTTGCATAAAGTAGACTGAAAATAAAAATTTTATTTAAAAAACTTAAACTCTCCCAAATAACTAAGTTTAATAAACTAAAGTTAGCTCAGGATTATTAAAAGTTACCTCTCTCTCTCTCTCTCTTTCTCTGCCTATTACTAAAAGTCATAGGCCTCTGTTCTACGTGACAGAGGCCACACAGTGTTTTCCTGTGAAAACCTGAATTAGGAGGACGGTGTAAATCATTGACATCAGTGACATGTCAGCTCTGACAGACTTTATCCTCAGGAGGCTCAGCTCTGGTCCTGGAACAGAACTCTGATAAACCCACGTGTCTGTGAACACAGGCTGTGATGACCACGCGGTCTACAGCTGTGTGGGATTTAAAGATGGAGTTGAATCAGTCGGTGGCTGAAGATCAGGAGGTTTCAAGGTTTCAAAAAAAGAACGTTTGACTTGAAAACAGCAGTGTTTACAAATCCTCCAGAAGAATCTTCTGACTTTTTAATGTCACTAGACTGAAAACTGGAAGTGTTGAATCCCAAAAATGTTTTGTTGTTTTTTAAATGAAATCTGGACCATGACAACAGCTGAGCATTTCTAAGAGAATAAAAAGTCAACACACCTTCACTGGTTTCTCTCCAGACAGGAAGGAAGTCACTCAGAACCTTCATTAATTGTGTGCACCTGCACCAGGTCACATGATCAGTCACATGGTTTTACACACCCACATGTTACATAAAAATTAAACCAAACTAACTTTTAGCAATTCCTTAGCTGGAATACAACTAGTTAAAAAAATAAAACATTTCAAACAAACAAGTTGAACTGTATCAACAAAACATTTCAAACAAACAAGTTGAACTTGAACAACAACCACCACAGCTAACATTTACCTCCAGGTCCAGGCTCTTCTATACTGTATGTTCTACCAGGAGGAGCCGGGCTGGGACTGGACTTGTAGCCATGGCTCCCAAACTTGGGGGGCGGGTCCCCCCTTAGGGCCTTGGAAGTATTGCCCATCTACTGTAAATGAATTTGATTTGATTTGTTTTGGACTTGGCCGACGTTGGGGGATCTGTGACAGAAGAAGAGTGGATACTCTGGGCTGAGCTGGGTCAGGAACCACATCCATACCAACTGATAACCATCATGAGGCTGATGATGGTTGATGGTTGGAGATGAAGAGCGGAGTTTGTTCCGGGTTTGTTCCAGCGTCAGTCGGTGTCTGGACCGGAGCCAACTGTGTTTTGGTTTCACTGGTGTCCTTCCTGATAAGACGCTGAGGAACAATAAGTGAAGACGACTTCAGCTGCTGCTGCTGCTGACCCGGAATTATCCTCCTCTTCATCATCATCTTCTTCATCTTCTTCTTCTTCTTCACTCTGCTGTTACTTTGTCACCTCGAGGCATCGCTCTCCTCACCTTCCTCCTTTTCTCACCCGGGACGTCTCCACAGGTCAGTGCTGGCGCTTTATTCTGAAATGTTTTTAATCATCGATAATATTTAGAATTGTTTAACAGTCAGGTCTGTGACTGAAGGGTTGTCAGTTTGAATCTCGCCCTGGCAACGCTGTAGTTGTCGGCTCTGTGTTAGACCAATGTTATTCTTCACAGGAATAATGTTGCAATCTGCATTAAAACAAATAAAACGTTTTTTTAGGGTTTTATTTAAATCCTTGTAATTCCTAAAAAAACAGAATGAACCCTTTGTGTCTTCAATTGGACTTTTTTAATTTTTTATTTTCCCCAAACAGTAATCAGGACAACTGGCGGCTGAAATGGGTGAGTGGGATCTGCTGGGTCGGCTGCTGGACAAGGTGCAGAGCCACTCCACGGTGATCGGAAAAGTCTGGCTCACGGTGTTGTTCGTGTTCCGCATCCTGGTCCTGCGCACTGGTGCTGAGAAGGTCTGCTGACCGCGGTGCCTGTACGGTGTGGTGTGTGAGGCAGACGTGTGGTTGGGGAGTGGTAACCCCGTCTCTGATGTGTGTCCTCCAGGTCTGGGGCGATGAACAGTCCGACTTTGTGTGCAACACTCAGCAGCCCGGCTGTGAGAACGTCTGCTACGACCTCGCTTTTCCTATCTCCCACGTTCGCTTTTGGGTTCTTCAGATTATCGCTATCGCGACTCCCAAGCTGCTTTACCTTGGCCACGTCCTTCATGTGATCCACATGGAGAAGAAGGTGTGTGTGTGTGTGTGTGGTTTGTGCAGTCACACACTCCAGGAGTTGAAATGTGTCAACAGCAGCAGCGTAAAGTAACCACAATACACAGGGAAATACAATGAAGAGCGCCATCTAGTGATAACCTACCTAACATTGGCGTCCATGACAATTCAAATTCGTCTCGTCACACTCGTCCATCCATTCCTCGTCAACTGTTAGCTACACAACACTGACGTTCTTTCTCCTCCTTTAACACCTCCTCTCAGAGGAGACACGGTCTGACCGACCAAAATCCCACGACCGCCTGTGCAGCAGTAGTGGACTTCCAAAGGGGTCACAAACCTCATGTTGAAGACCTCTGCTCAGCATAGTAGCTGAGCCTAATTCTTAAGTCTAAGTTAAGATGAAGTTCATGAACCGTTCAATAGACTTTGACCCTTGACCCTGATAAGACCTCCACTGTGATGATAAGGTTATTAATCACAATTAATCACTGTTTATAACACTTGAGATTTACTTCCTGTTTATCCTTGGTATAACACTTGAGATTTACTTCCTGTTTGTCCTTGGGCCACTAGAGGGTTCCTAACCTCTAACCTCTAACCTCTAACCTCTAACCTCTAACCTCCCCAACCACAGGTGAAGGAGCGGATGAAGAAGCAGGCGGAGCTGGAGGACCAGACCGGACTGTTCCTCGCCAAGACCTTCAAAGTACCCAAGTACACCAAGAACAGCGGCAAGATCAGCATCCGGGGTCGCCTCCTGCGCAGTTACGTCTACCACCTAGTGGCCAAGATTGTTCTGGAGGTGGTGTTTATAGTCGGACAGTACTTCCTGTACGGGTTCACCCTCCAGGCCCAGTACGTCTGCTCTCGCTTCCCCTGTCCCCACAAGGTGGACTGCTTCCTGTCCAGGCCCACGGAGAAGTCCGTCATCATCTGGTTCATGTTGGTGTCGACCTTCGTCTCCCTGGCCCTCAGCCTGGTGGAGCTGCTCTATCTGTTTGTCAAGGCTGTGAAGGAATGTCTGGCCCGACGGCAGGACTACACCGTGACCCCGGTGACCCCGCTCTTCACAGACAGGAAGGCCTTCAAAGGCCAGGACGAGATGACGCAGAACCGCGTCAACCTCGGGCTGGAGCTGGAAGCAGAAATGAACAGGGTCAAAGGTGGGGTGGGGGGCAACATCATGCCACCAGAGGGCGACGTAGGGGAGGTCCACATCTGAAGCCGCGAGGCCGTGATTGGCTGCTGGTTGTGACTGGCG